CACAAACCATACGTTTAGTTAGCATTAAGCTAGAGCTGGAAATACACAAAATTCCTTCTTGTGACACCCATGAAAGTATAGAACACACTCAAATTCTCTTGCAAAATCCTTTATCTTCCCAAGTGTAATACTAAATAATAGTATTTCCCACACTGTCCATGTTTTTCATTATCGCTGGTGGTTTGGGGTCTGGTTGCATTATAATTTGATATGAGATGATTAAAGAGGTGTGACTTAAAGCTTCTCATAAGCCATACCCAGAACAGATGGCTACTTAAATTATGCTCTATAGCTTGTGTCTAGTTGTTTGAGATAATACTGAACAGATCACACTTGTTATATTGATAAAACTTGTGCTTTTGCTGAGGCAGTGTGCTTGTTCACCAGTTTTGAGCAGATCCAGCAACTAAACCTGGCTGCACTTTGATCCAGAAAAAAAAAATAGTTCTAGTAAGGTCTCAGACTTGTTTCTTTTAGGGTATTTTAATGCACTTTGGTCTTTTCTTTTTGGAACTGTTCATTCAGTGTGAAATACTTAAACTATCAACGGGTCAAAGAGTCAACAGAGCAGTTGGTGAGGTGGTGCCGGTCCTCTGGAGAGCCCAGCTCCAGTTCTGCAGGGGGAATGGGAGTAAGGGAAGGCGTTACTTTCTAGTAGTGTGTCATATTTTAATTCTGCCTCTTTTTTTTTTTTTTTTTTTTTGCTATGAATGACTCTCATTTGTCTTAGGCAGGTAAAGCTTGAAGAAAATTTGCATCTGTGAATCCTCAGCAGCACCTCCCAGCTTGGGATTGTGAAAGTGCCAAAAAACTAGACAACACAGCACTGTTCCTTACAGTGGGAATGAAGCATTTCTCAACCCTAGGGAATTAAGTGACATTAAGTTGCACTCTTGCTTTCCAAAAGAGTTAAGATGCATTTGTCCAAATATTGACTTCAAATGGCTTTGTGTGCTCATAACTAGAAGTTTATGAAGTAAGGAACAGTATAAGTTGTTAAATTGACTTCTGTGAGGTAGCTATTAATTCTGCTTGTAGTGAAATGCTGAAGTACTATGGAGAGTCAGAGCAGAAAGACCAGACCTTATGTTCCCTGCTTTTTATTTGGTTGATATCTTATGGTGTGTTGCTTTACAGGTCTATATATGATGTCATTAAAAAATAGGGCTTCAGGGGACCTTGAGAAATCATCTGGTTGATGCCCCAGACCCAAGGTAGAACCATCTGTCAGGAGTGGTTTAGGTAGTTGTATAACTGTCCTTGTAAATCTCCCATGGTGGAGATTTTACAGCTTCCATGAGCAATATGCTTCACTGCTTATCTATTATAACCACCAGAAAGATTTTCCTCCTGTTAGAATTACCCCTGTTGCACTTTATGAGCTTGTTACTTTTCTCACTGAATATAAGAATTTATTTTTTTCTTCTCTGTATATGAAATTTTGCCATTTTTATGGTCTTTTCTAGACTTAAAAACCCTGATTCTTCTCTGATTTTTATCAGAAATCCTGAAGATGTCTTACATTCTCATTAGTGTAAGTTGTTCTTAAAGTACAATACTCAAAATTGGATACAATATGTGAGCTAAAAGTCTTATCACTATTGACTAAAAAGGAAGGACTACGTGTAAAATGTGTAAAGAATCTATTTATTCATCCCGTTTTAAAACTGTTGCAAGGTTATGCAAGTGGCATGTTGAATCATGTTTAGTTTCTGTATTCTCTAAAATCTTTCCTGAAGACCTGGTATTTGATACTATTTATTTTGCATTTAGGTTTGTAGATGTTCCTACCTGTAATATTTATTGTATTTATCCGATTTCAGATCATTTATTACTGACAAATCGAAAATTAATGCTGGCCTCTAAAGAGCTCTCAATTCTTACCTTGGAGCGTGCCAGGCTGTCTACTCTGCTCTAGCATCTGCATCATCGCTCAATAGCGAAATCCAGTGAAAAGTACTAACACATGGGAACTGTATCTGGCTCTCAAAGTTCCCTAGGATGACTAGCAAGAGGTTGCAGCTTCCACTATCCTAGTGCTATACTCTCAGCATCCACTTTTGGCTGCTTGTTGGAGGCAATGTATATGGTTGTGAGGCAGAACAAAGATCAAATTGTGGCTGTTCTTGTGGCTATTCGTTATTGATATCTAATTACAGAATACAATTTTTCAGCTGGTTGTGCACCCAGTGTATAGACTACAGGAAATAATTGTGTTTTGCTACATTGCTATGAAACAACGGCATGTGAAACAGAAGGTTCATTTTAACAAACTTGTTCTCCCTATCCACAACACCTCTTCAATTAAGAAAATTGAGGATGTGTGATATGACTTCCCCTGACAGAGCTATGACAGTGTTTTTTTGTTTGAGGAATTGAAGTTAGGATGGTTTGGTCTAAAATTCTTTGGCAGCTCCTATTCTCCATATTAAGCACTGTGCCTTTATTATCTTTTTAGTCTTTTGAAATCCCTCCTGCACTCCAGAATTCTCAAATATAACAGCCAGCTGCTCTTGGATGACTTTGGAGAGGTGTGAGTTCTCTCAGCTGAGCTTCACTAGGTCTAGCCAATTTACAAACTCACCAAATAAGCAATAGCCTGAGTTTTGCAATGATGTTAATTTTGAAACTAATTATGATAGTTCTGATATATGGTACAACTATGAACAAACACTCATCTTCTGTGATAAATATTTAACTATTGCCATGAGGTTTGTGTTAAAATACCCCAAACAGACTCCCAGAGTGACATATCTGTGTTTCTAATGCGCAAAGATTTTTCCATAGAACTAGGTCTGGTTTGCAGACACTTGCAACATAACTCTGGCATATACTTTTCAAGTTAGAGGAAGGGAAAGACTTAGGATTGTTACAGGTTTGGAGCTGTGGAGTCCTGCTGTACATAAAGTAGCTTGTATTACTATATATAGTGTTAATCTCTAACTGTTTCTTTCTTGTATGATAGCCATAATTCTTTATCATTTCAAAGATAAAATCATAGCCAGAACTGCTACTGTAATCTTAAGACTGTTTAATCATTATAAAAAGTGCAAATTAAAATGACAGGTGACAGATTAAAAATGAAATACCTACATCTCTACTACTGCTATATTTTTATTACTTCACTGTACTATTCCATCTCATCAGTGGTTTGTTATAGAGATGTCATGAAAGCAATATTGCGCCTCGGCATGCTGAAGACATTGTATCATTCATGTTAGTATTCCTTGTCAGGTGAGCAGTGACGTCCAGTTGTTTATAAGCATTTGTGGTGTTCAGTGTGATTACAGCATAATAAGCCCTGTGTCTCCCTGCTGCTTTTTATGTGGCTAGTGAAATGTTTTATTTTGTAGTTTGCATGAACAGCTGTAGAACACCTGATTGCACACAGCAAATAACTGCATGAAAGATTTTATGAAAACCAAAAACAAGTAAGTCAGAAATGGATTCAAAGTTGTACAAGCAAGTAAATGATTAGGAGCTGATGACAGGATGATTCATTGTAAGGTGTTCTTGTGTAAAAATCTGTTGTTATGTACAGTTTAGCTAACTTTTCAATCATAGCAGATTGCATCAAAACATTTTAATTCACTTGCTGTTTCCAGAGACTGCTGTACCTGAAAGGCAGTATGTTAGTATTGGTAAAGTCTTGTTTTAATCTAAGTTTCTCTAGACCTTTTAAAAGTCATCGAACTACCAACTTTACCTGAATTTACTCACTTGAATATTAAATAACTGAGCACTTAACAAGCTGTACCTTTTAGATCCCCTCTGCAGCCCTAACCTCTAAAGGGAAAGTTAGAAGACAAGTTTAACTTCTAAAAACATAGTTAAATATAGATTAGTGTTGTTACAATGGGATGAAAAAGATAGTTATTGTCCTGAATTTAAGAGTTGGTTAGAAAGAGATATGAAATAAAGAACATTCCCCTCCTGGGAAAAGCAGGACATGTGAACTAAGGAGTATAACAAACTATCTTTGATCACAAAACTGTGATTGCAAATTGATGTGTTCTCAAGGAAAGTTTTGACTGTTGCTGAAGCATTGCAAGAATTTATTGCTAAGTTGTTTCCTATACTAATACTAAAATAACATGACACTTCAGATTCACCTAGCGCAATTTATTGAAACCTATGTTTTTAAACTAGGACAGCTGAAGAGAATAGCAAATATTTAAAGGGATGTTTTCAAACTTTAACTAGTAAGATACAGAAGTGCAACAAGATTTTACTTAAGTGTAAGCATGTATTCAGACTTCTCAAAGGGTCCCTCATGGCGTCTGAAATGTAAACTTCTTTCATTAGATGCTTATTTGCTAAGAAGACATTTTTCCAGTACTTGCCTATTAATGAACATTTTCATACCTGCTTTAAGTACCTCAAGACTGTGGTTCAGGAAAACAAGGGACTTCACATTGATGTTGAAAACACCAGTTGCAAGTAGCAAAGACATTTTCACTACTACTCTAATGGATCAGGTTGGTGATATAAATGTAGTGAGATAGCCTAGCGTGGTGGAAACAGATCTAAAAAGACCAGTTATACCAGGGTATATTAGGGTACAAGTGCTATTCTCAGACGTAGTTGACTAGGTTGAGCTAGATAGGTCAAGTAGTGAAATAAAACCTGACACACTAGGTGTTTTCTTACTGGTCTCATTTTTAATAGTGAAAAAAAGACCCAAAAAAAACTAAGAAAAAAAAAATCCACAAACAACAACAAAAAAGGAAAAAGGTCAGTAGTTTACTTTTTGAAGATACTCTTATTTGTAAAAATATTTCCATTTGCAACCAAATATGCAGTAGACATTTTTCACAGACATGCCAGGTAAAATATTTAAGGCCAAATAAGTTATAATATTGTTGTTAAAGTGACTTATAAAACTAGTAGTCCTTTATGAAACCTTAAAAAAAAAAATCACAAAAACAAACAAAAACCCCACCAACCACTTAAAAAGGATCTTTCTCTTTGCTGTTTTACAAAGTGGCAGTGTTTAAAAAGCAAATATGGTAAATCCGTTTTGAGTTCAGGCTGTACAAAAGTCAATATGTGCTAGTAATTCTCTGTGTTGGCTTGTCGGGTACTGCATTTTACATCTAGGACACTCAAGAAAACTTTCATCAAGGAGATTTGAACGTTTCAGGGAAGGACTTGTGTCATATACTGTCATCTTCTCTTCAAATGCTGCTTGCAAACGTTCCTGTGGTTCCATACGTCCAGACTCCTGGAGTTTCTGGAAAAGGAGAATCTTTTGTATGCAGTTGTGGCTTTCATGCCCTGATCAAGTAGCAGTAGGAAAGAATCTTAATATTTGATGGCACACACCCCCTGCTGTGTGTGCTATAGAATTAAGGGAAGAATTTTAAAGATGCCCAAATGCAATTTATGCTGCACACATTAACAGAGGGCAGTATCAGCCTGTTACATCATTCCAAAACCACACTGAAGCTAGACTGCAGATAGCTTTTTCTGAAGACTATTTAAAACAAGTTTCCCACAACATACTAAGACACAGTACCACAGTTACATTATGGCAGGATTCTGTGTAGTGGAAGGAACTACATTCTCATTCAGTGGCCTATGAAGAAAGAAACTATTTCAAACTGAAAATTTTCACCTGCCTCTTTTAGCACAAGGGAACTCACCACTCTGATTTCCCTGCTCTGCCTACACAAACTTCTGTTCAGCAGCTGTTGCTTTTGGCAGCCAACAGGTTTTCCAGTGGCCTCAACTGGCTGAAGTAGCAACTGCAGTTAAGGCTTTGCAGCAAATAAGGCTCTCACAGGGGAAAGAACACGTGAAGGGGGTTGATGAGATAGTGCAGCTCTACATTCATCTATAAAATACTTCTCCAACTTGCATACAACTAAGGAGGAGAACAATATAGCACAGCTGCAGAATAATTCCTTTCATGTGCAATTTTAGGAGCTTGGGCTTATTACTAGAAATTTAAATACAAAACAGCTCCAGACCTGCTCTAGCAAAGGGCACATATATTCAGAACTGAAGTCAGACATCTATCTCATTTAGATCGGTCCAGAACTGCAGTCTTGGCAATTCTATTCAGCTCTCGCCTAATCTCTCAACATGTCTTATTCTAGAGTCCCAGAGGCATCAGTCGAAATACATCTCCACTCAAGACCAGGGCAATCCAGGAGACAATAAGGCAGAACAGATCAGGGTCAAATCCAGGTGGTGTTCTTACAGGATAGGGAACAATAAGTCTATGGTCCTCACAATGAAATGAATGTCCTTTTTCTTTCTTTTTAGGAAATGAGAAACTTAGGATTTTAGTGATCTACCCTACATCAGGTGGTGGAGTGGGTTTAAGTAATTCAGTTTCTATTTTAAGGAATGTTCTCTGATCACTAAAAGTATGTCCAAGTAGAAGCACACTGCAGCTTTGTCACTGTACAACAGACGAAGTCCAAGTACATGCTGTGACAAAAAAATAGAATAGAAAATAAATTCCTTGCTTAGGGACCTGACTCTTCTGGTTCTTTTTCTGCAGCACTACTTATGTGTTGTAGATAAAAACCCAAGCTAGCTAACAGAGTTCTGCATCTTGGGGCCACATATCAAAGGATGTAAGGACCTGGAGTGAATTTTTGTTGACAGTAATAGAAGGCCCAGTTTGTTCAAACTAAAAACCCCACTATGAAAATATGTTAGTTTATGTAAAAATCCCTAAGTTCATATGCAAGTCACTTAGTACATACCACAGGTTCTAGACGGGTTATTTGTTCTCTGGCCTTGCGCAGCTCCTTAAGAACTTTGTTCAACTGATGCTGCAAATTCTGGCGATCCAGCTTTTCATTCTCAAAGTCTGTGGTACATATCTGGATCTGGCATCCCCCAAGAAGTGAAAATAAAAAATGTCAGGTCAGAATTACTAAGAATTAGAAAAAAAAGTTTCCATTTAAATATATAAATCAATCATCATAACAAGGATTAAAAAAATTGAGTAGTCAGCTCAGCATGTAACCATATAACTGTGTACCTGTTGTTCCAACAAAGCTATCCTAGTGTGTTCCTCCTGCTGCTTAAGCAGTGATTTACGAAGAAGTTGTACCTATAAGGCAGAAAAACATCTTAAAGAAATGAACTTCCATGTGCAATTGTTAATAAGCTTAACAAACAATAAATCTAATAGAGGGATGGAACTAAACTTTAATATTGCAGTGTTAGCAGAAAATGCATGCCTCTTATATAGCAGCCAATCACAGCTGAAATACCTCTACTTTCCACAGGGGACCATTATTACTACATGAAGAGGGAGGAATACAAAATGATGTTGCAATTCAAAAAAGAAATTTACAAACACTTTCCTAGGCAATACCCAGGATACTTTAAGACAAAAATATACACATGAAAGCCTATTCTTACTCTAACAAAACTTAATAGCTGCAGGGGGAAGCAGTGCAACTCTTTAAAATACAATGATTGATAAAGATTAAGAGTCAGAAAATGTTAGCTATAATGAATTAAATATTGCCTTCCCCAAAATATCCTTGGTTATCAGAACATATCAACCTTTACAGTGAATGCTGTTGTTCAGTTGCAAAAACTGACAGCTTTTAATCAGTACTAACCAGTGAGAACCAGCCTGTGTTTAGGAAGCTAAATTGGTTGGTTTGGGTCTGATTTTGCACCCCATAAATTCTGCCCTCCTAATCAAGAACTTGATTCTACATTGCTTGAGATTATTGACCACAAACTTTTCCAAATAGCAAGTTTACCGTAGTTGGATGCCCAAAGGACTAGTTTTTAAGGAAGGATTTTTCCAGTTTCTCTCTAGCAGATAACATGGTCAGGCTATGCTTTTGTTTAGAAGAGATCTTAGCAGAACCTTTGTCAGCATGACCATGCTGATCAGAAGATTCTGAAAAAGAGACCACTGTAACCCTTCACATAAACATTTTTCTTATGTGCTCAGGAGCATACAAAATAAAAAATATCAATCTTCAATCAATAATAAAAAGAATCAATCTCACTTCTCCCTTCTTGTTCTTGTGCCCTGCAGGAATAGGGAAATAACTGTAGTATGTGTTTAACAAAGAAATCATGTAAAACTTTGGATTTTGATCTAAATTAAAGAATTCAATTTGAAATACAAAACAGTCAAGCCTAAATGGATATAAAAAGCAAATATTTACCAGACCAAGTGAATGATGGTCCATTCTGATAAGACTTTTCAAGCTGTCTTGATTCTTCGTTAATGATCTTAAATTTCCAAATGCATCTGCTTACCTGAGATAAAAGATCATCAGACTTTTTCTTTTCTTCTCTAAGCTGTCCTTTAATAACTTCATTTTCTTCTTTCAGCCTCTGCAGTTTATCACCTTTGATTTTATTTTCATTTTCTAGAGTCTTCACTTCAACAACCTGTTGTGACTGCAGCAAGGCATTTAAACTCATTATTTCTCTTTGTGTTTCTTCATACTTCGTTTTTAATTCATTAAGTTCAGATTTCAGTAGGGTTATAGTGCGTCGTTCAGTCTCAAGATCACTTTTAGCAGTTAGTAACAGTTGGTCATAATACTTTTGCTTTTCCTGTAGAAGACCTTCATGAGCCAGAACTATTGAAACAGTAGCACAAAAATGAAAAAGTCAAACTTAAAAACAGAGAGCAAGATCCTTTGACGGCACTTCCAAGTGTAAAAAACAAACAAAAAATATAGATCAGTTATGGCATATATGAAATTATTACTTTGATAATAAGGATATCAAGGCAATTGCTTCTGAAACTTCTGTGCAATATGATCTTAATTTTACCCCATGTGCTAGCTGAGCACTACTCAAACCGATCTGAAGGCACCGTGGGGAAGGAGTGCTCCATCGCCGTAAAGAAATCACATAGCACAGAGGTGAACTAGAGGTGACCAGATCCAAATTGCGAAATACTGGTACGGGTAGGTGCTAAACCTATCAGTTTTTCTTGCCAGGTAAGAGGTGTTCAGAGGAGTAAAGGATGTGTCAGGCCTTAATCATTTTTATAATATTTATTTTGGAAAAAAAAAAAATCCAAAAATCTTGATCCACACCTAGACAATAAACTTTTAATACTTCCTGCGTGTAGGTTGAGAGTGTACTTTGAAGGATGGGAAGCATAAAACATTTACCTCAACACTTTGTGCAAATAGAAAGATTGCCAATGGAGTGTCAAGGCTTTTAAGAATCATGTGTAATGAAGGAGATAACAACAACAAAAAAAACTATGGATTAAATAATGCAGCTAGATAACAGGAAGCAAAGAAATTTTATTTATCCAAATTTTACCATTAAGGAACCAAAGGTTGAGAGAATAAATTCCTAGTTTTGTGCTATAAATTATTTTCACAAGACTTATTCTCTAGATAATTATCAGTTTTGATCACTTATGGAAAAAAAATATATATATTAGTACCTTCCGCATTGGCTTCTGTTGCATGCTGGTGGTAAACTACTTCTGACTTCTGTTCAAGTTCAAAGATCCTGCCTAGCAATCCCCTGACATATGCTTCACGTTGCTGGTCATACAGGAGCCACTGCTGGTTTTTCTCAAGAGCCTTCATACGAATGAATGGGGAAAACAAACAAACCCCACAAAGCATGCATACACACACACAAAAAGTAAATTCCGTTCATTAATCATATTTCAAAAGTATCAGTCTTGTATAATGTATAGTTTTGTTAATAAACATTTTTTTAAGATAAATTAGTTGATTTCTACTCTGTAAATTCTAATAGCATTTTCTGTATAATAAATCTTCATTTGAAAAGTTAAGTTAGACTGTGAAATACATAAGTTAACATCATACCACTATAACTGTAGGAAGACTGATACTGTTTAGGTGACTTACTGAAATGGAAAAGCTATTAAAAAAAAAAGCCACCATTAGTCATACCCCAGGTTATAAGGAATTAACTTTTCCTAAATATAAAATAACAGATCTTGAAAATGGAATGAGCTAAAGCTTAACTGAACAATTTAAAGTTTGTAAATTTAATTTTTTTATAAGCTTGTGGATGTAATTTTGGATGACAAATTAGTTCAGGTTAGAAAGGGCCACAGGAGGCCTCAGGTCCAATGCCATGCTGTCCAAGGCAGGGTCAGCAGCCAGGGCAGACCAATGCAGTCAGGGCTTTTCCCAGGGAGTCTCCCGTTAGTTTCCCCCAGAACCACCTGGTCTCTGGGCTGACCAAGCCCAGTTCCTTCAGCCTCTCTGCAAGGAGAAGTAACCCAGCCACCTTGGTGCCTCACTACTGAACATTGCTCCAGTTTATTCATGTCTTTCTTGTACTAGGGGCCCAGAACTGAACACAGTATTCTAGATGCGATGTAACAAGTGCTAAGTAAAGGGGAATTATCACTTTCATTGATGTACTGGCTACTCTGCTGTTAAAACTGGCCAGGAAACCACCTTTGCCTCCACGGCATACTGCTGGCTCATGCCCAGCTTGCTGTCTGCTGAGACCCACTCGATCCCTCCCTTTCAGCAGGTATCACTTGAAATAGTGAGTGTTACCTGATGATTCCCTAAAAAGAACTTTCCTTCTCCAATTTTGAAACATACTTCTGGGTATGCAAGGGAACTTGACAGTGACCTAAGGATCATGCTTGAAATAATTCTACAGCAAAGGACTTGAATGTTCAGTTTTCTGTTCCAATGCAATATTCATTAATATAAGAACCACTACCTCAGCTTTCTGCAATAATATAGAAACACGTATAAAGGTTTTATTAATACTTAGTGCCTCAGACTCCAGAATATCCACTTAGTGGTTTGTTAATCTTAGCCTATATAAGAACAAATGCAGCATAGAAGAGGGAGCATGTGCTTGCACACACATGCACGTTTTTTATCCCCAAAACTTGTTTTTGGGCAAGAAGATGCTCCTTTTCTACCAACAGCCACCCTGTTCAAACATTGCAAGAAGAAATCTTTTCGAGAATGATGGAAAATACACTCCCCCCACTTTTTTTAAAAAAAAATAATAATAAAAAAAATTGTTTGTTTGATGTTGTTTCTCCCCCACCAAAATACCCAGTGCAGCCTGTCCTTATTTAATGACTACTTGTCACAAAATAATTCTAGGTATGATAGTTTTAGAGAGAAACACATACTCTAGGGTTCCATTATAGGCAAAACATACATGGTGATAATTTACATTCTTATGCATCTCATTACAAATTATGTATCCTTGGAATGTTATACAAGAAACTTACATCTTTCAGTTGGTTTTCAACTTCATTAAGATTAGTTGGTGATCCAGTGCTGTCCATCACAGCTTCCTGCAGATTAAAAAAAACCAATCCATTAGTGTTCTTAAAAATACATGGTTGAAAGAGTAAAACTAGTTCTATGTAATTATTAATCTCACATAAGTAGTCAGCATAAGAATATTTTATATGCAGCAAACATGGACTCATACATGGTATTTTTGTATTTAATGATCTTCATATTTGGTTTATACAGGTAAAAGAAAATCTCCAGAAAAACATAGTGCACTGGATTTACTTTTAATTTGTTCTTTAAGTATGCACCTCAAAATATTTTATAAGAATATCACATGTATTCTGTTAAACTGCTATCTTGGAAGTCCTGAAGGCTGCACGAGTGTTTCTGAAATTTAAGATATCTAGCGTTTTATTTAAATACAAATTAAAAATCAATAGTGTTTGTTTGCTTATCTTCAGTAAAGAAGTCCAAAAATAAAGTAGACCTATACTTTAGTAGCTGTCCGAAGTCCTTGACAACTTCTCTGGTGTAACTAGAGCTTTGCAAGTGTATCAGAACACAGGCAGGGCTATCTGTAACTGTGTGACACACAGTCCACAGTAGAGCTCTCACATTTAAAGTATGGCTTTCAGAATCCTTTAGACGGAGCTAAAGCTAAAGAACAGTTAAGCAGTTACACTTTGTTCATAACCAAACATCACATTTCACTGCACACTGGAAAAATTAAAAAGGTTTTGAAATTGTGTAGAGGGAAGTCAGAGGAAACTTTACAGGCATAAAAATGCTATCTAACTCCAAGCCGTATTATTAGACTTTTTCCTATGATTTTTGGAACATGATTTAGGGCAATTTTAGTGGCTGAAAATACGGGATATTTTGAATGAAACCATTAAACTAATAAAAACTAGATTTAGAGACACTATGATTGATCAGGTTCCTATTTCTATAAATTCTAGAACATGACACCTGTAAAAATTCTAGCAGGATTATGTCATACAACTGTTTTTTTCCAATCCAGAGTATACCTGCTCCTCGTGTGCCACCTAGCAGCTTCAGGAAGCACTGCTAGACTTGTTTTGAAGCTTTCCAAGACTTTAACTCAAAGTCAATTTTTTTTTGTCCTTCATTGAAAAACATGGTCAACATTTAGAAGAAAAAGCTGATTTTACACCAAGAGATAATTTAGCAAAGATACCACATCTAATGTGTAGGGTAACAGGTTGATGTTGCTAGCTGGCACTTAAGATAGAAAGAAATGCCTCCTCGGAGTAGCAAGCTGCTCAATTTAGGCGAGCAGAGACGGTGAGGAAGAGTAAGTATAAGTACCAAAGGATGGTCTTGAGCTTTCAGTGTCATGCATTTCTTCACTAAAAGTTAGAATTTAGATTACAGGAGGATTATTTGCCTTAGTTGTTCTATTTACTTATTTATGATCTAGCATTCTGTTAATCTGCTAAACATTTTTGCAGCATGAGAACATTATGCTATTGCCACTGAAATTTAACTTAACACCTTCTTCAGGTTACTATGCAGATGTAATAAGGAACATCTAGGAACCAGAGAACACAGTGAGTGTATCTTCTAGCTGGCCAAAAGGTTTTTCATTTCATCTGAGACTGTTCAGAGATACATTTCTGATACTGCTGTGGTTTAGAAGACAAGTTTCTACAGTGGTTATTAGAATGACAAGTTCTTTGAGAAAAAATAGCATAAAATCTGTTGAATAAACTCAAAGTTTTAAATTCTTTATCTCTCTAACAAGCTGATTTACTTGCTTAAGGATTTGGTTTAAGTGGGATTTCTAGAAAGTACTCAACTTCTTTGTGTAGCATGGGAAAGAGCATAATCTAAATGATAGACGCTGTCCCTTGTTGATGCACTGCTTCATTTTTCCAATGAGTATTAGCACAGACTGGGTTGAAAAAATAAAAACACTAAATCCAATTATAAAATCAGCCAAGTGCCTATCACCGTAATTACTAACCATTTTAGATGAGAGAATTCATTATTCATGCCCTATCCTCTGACACATTTGCCACTTTTGATGTCATGTAAAATACAGGCAACTAGTTTTAAAAACTGATTGAGGAGTAAATGAGGATTCATAAGAGGACAAAGATATTGTTACGATTGAAGCAGAACTGGGTGAGCAGCTAGGTTTCCCTTTATTGATGGCCTGAACATACAGAACCCAAAAAAGGGTGTCATAGCTGCTTTAGTCATACTGAATCCTCACATATAGTGTGTCACGCTAGTGAGTCATGCTGCTTCCACAAGAACTTGAAAAGGGGATCTTGGGTGACACTAGCAGAGATTTCTCTTCTCCAGTCATGCTGCCACTGAAGGGGTCAGTTGTGCTCTACCCATTCTTCACTTGGCAAGGGTCAAACTGGGCACCTCCTCTCTTCAGGAAAGGATATTTCAGCATGCAAAAACCATGAAGGAAGATTTACAGTCCATGCTGTTTTGTGATTCATTTTGGTACTTAGAGGTTTCAAGTCTAACATAATTATGACATCTGTTCAGTACTTACCTGGGATGGCTGAAAAGTCCCGGCTCTGTTTTCAAGCTCTGAACATTTTGCAGTAACAGCAGCTAAGTTGCACTTTAACCGGTCCATTTCCTCTGACAAAGAATTTAGTAGTTGTTCTCTCTTTTCTGCTTCCTTTGTTTTTTCCTCTAGTTGACTAAGTAATGAGGATACTTCACTGCTTTTGTTTTTGGACTTCAGCTTGTCTTTTAGATTTTGGATTTCTTTGTCCTTCTGTCCAAGAATGCGGTTGTTTTGCTCTTTTTCTGTTTCAAGCGAAAGTATTTTCTAAATGAACCCCCCCCAAAAATGACAGATAGGAATGTCAGTCTATATAGCCAAGGCATTAGAAAGTTTGCAACAGTTTGAAAAAAAGAAAGTATTTACTTTGAAAGGTTCTCTTAGATTTTAGTTATCTGAAAATAGTAAGTTTTACTCAAAACAGGCTGCTGTGATAATCATTTGAGAGAAATATAGTGTACAGCAAGTGAAATAGTAAATGAGTGACAGAAAATAATGCAAAGAACAAATTCCATAGACTTTGTAGGCGCTTTGGTTTCTATATGAACAGAAATCAGCACAATACATGAACCTTCATGTACAAGCTGTACTGGGGCACTTCTGGGGGAGGAGGGGGTGCTGCTGAGTCATTTCTGGATGTTAGCATATTTAGTAGCTTTTGGGAAGCTACAGAGCCTTCTCACAAGTAAAGTGACAGTAAGGCAAGGTCACAGAAGAGGTACAGTAAATCATTTAGGAGAAAGCCTCCATCTCTAAGTTATCCTTTAGCTTCAAAAGGTGCTTCTCCAGACACTAACGCTTTGATACAAAGGTCACGTAGGAGAGCAGGTCTGTGACATTTCCCCCCTTCCCCAACCTGGTTGTTACCTTAAGTAACAAGCAGTCACCACCGCGCACCGTCGCCTCACCTCCAGGAGCCGGTCTCTTTCGGGATCCGTCATGTTGCTTTTCCCCTCAGCGAGATCCTCCGCCGCTCTCCTCAGGGCCGCCGAGTCCCGCCGGCGCCTCTCCAGCTCCACCTCG